GAGAACAGCATACCTGGGTAACCCTGCAGGGCCCACACTGCCCCTCGAGACGTTCCAAATGGATCCCATAGATTTACCTCTGGCCTTAGGCTCATCCCCCATTTGCTGGGTATCTGCATGCTTAGCGCACAAACTGGCCGCTATCCGACCAGACACGTCAACACTACGACAGGATGCTTTCTTTCTTCCAGGTTCTCCAAGGTTAAATTTGGGGAAGGGAACCAGCAGCCCAGACTAGCTCATCACATCAACCTCAGGTGTGCTTTGCAATTTTCGATCATGTCCTTAAATTTGGGTGACCCGAGCCTGCTCTAACTCGGCACAAGGTCACTTGGGGATGTTGTCCCCCCGCTTCCACCAGAGCTCTTCAGTTCATTTCTATGCTGGGGGTTTCCTGGCCTGTTCCACAGGGTAAATCCAAACCCAAGTCAAGCCGGGGGTTGGGAAGTCCCCGAGGAAACATTCCCTCAACCCAGAGCCCAAGCCAAGATGGGCAAGTTTCCTGGGTGTGCCTCCATGGTGTCAATCAGCCTTTTTCCACCGCATGCTCTCATTGGAGGTGTAGCTTCACTCTGAGGGACCAAGAGTTTTATGCAGGGGCCTCTGCTTCTCTCCAAACAGCCTGGCCCAAGGCCTGGCAGCCGTTAAATTCCAAAGTCCTATGTCTCTGGGCAAATATTATCAGGGCCCCCAGTTTGAAGCTACCTCTGCAATTTGGGCCAGGGAGATTTCCCATGCTCTCTTCTGAGCTCCACTGTACATTTAAAGGTTGTTTATTTTTAAAGATTTTATTTATTTATTTGAGAGCGAATGAGCCCGGGTAGAGGGGCAGGGGCAGAGGGAGAGGGAGGGGCAGAGGGAGAGGGAGGGGCAGGGGCAGAGGGAGAGGAAGAAGCAGGCTCCCCACTGAGCAGGGAGCCTGATGTGGAGCTTGATCCCAGCACCCTGGAATCATGGCCTGAGCTGAAGGCAGGCGCTTAACCGACTGAGCCACCCAGGTGCCCCAGTTCATTTATTTTTAAACCAGCATTTCTGGGTATTTTTCCAGAGGCAGCCACCCTACAGAAGCACCAGTCCCAGAGTCTCCTTTGTGAAATACACATTCAGTGGCACCATTCTCTGCTTACTGGTTGTTTGATAGAGGCCAAATCCTCACCTGGTTTATTTTTTTTTTAAAGATTTTATTTATTTATTTGAGAGAGAGAGAATGAAAGATACAGAGCACGAGAGGGAAGAGGGTCAGAGGGAGAAACAGACTCCCTGCTGAGCAGGGAGCCCGATGTGGGACTCGATCCCAGGACTCCAGGATCATGACCTGAGCCGAAGGCAGTCGCTTAACCAACTGAGCCACCCAGGCGCCCTCCTCACCTGGGTTAAAAGCCCAGCTTCATCTGGCCTCTGCTGGTTACACCACTCACCCCACCTTCTCCCCAGCTCCCCCCCGCCCCGCCCTACTGCTCTCTCCAATGGAAGACTGTGCCTTCTTCTGTTAAATAGTTATGCTCCCTTCTGACTCAAGGCCTTTGCATATGCTGTTGCCCCCCACCCCCGAAACTCTTCTCCACTCAATCCAGTTTCACCTGTTTCCAGCGTCAGGGCTCAGCTCAAACTCACGCACTGCTTCCTCGGTGAAGCCATGTGACCTCCCCCCATCTGCCCAGACAAGGTCAGAGAGATCTTGGTTCCGCCCTCACAGAATTCCCGTATGTCTTCCCGGCACTCAACATAGTGCCAGAAAAATCACAGCTAAAGTATAAAATTGCAATTATGAAAACTGTCCATTTATTTAGGAGAATATTTTATTAGTGTCTGTCTCCTGCAGTGGGCTGTAAGCTCTGTGAGGGCCTGGGCTGGCTGCTGTACCCCCAATGCCCAGCACAGGACAGGTGCAGAACAGGTGCTCGGTAACGGTGTGCTGAACTAACAAAATGGGAGTAAATGAAGAACCCGGGCAAAAAAAACCTAGGGGTCCCAATTTCCCAGCTACAGTTTCCCCTTCAATAGGCCGGGCATGAAAGATCTCTTGGGAGCCCCGTTCTCAGGGAAATCATCAACAAACCCACCCCCTGCTTACGTGGGGAGACAAGACAAATTCCCCATAGCAGTAAGTGTTATTTTGAGTTTCAATGAGACAGGCACAGAGCACTCTTCCTCACTTCTCCATCCTGGGGTGGGGGGCTCAGATCTCAGCTTCAGGTTGGGATTACAAAGTGGGGGAGGTGGATAAATAAATGTGAATGGGACTTGGGGGCCAGGGCTGGTGGCAGAAGAGAGGGCAGAGAGTCTGCTAACCCCAGACCCTGAGCCGAGCCAGAAATCCAAATCCCTACAGCCTGCAGGGGCCAACCTAGGGAACAGACACCATGTGTGTGGTGGTCTTTATCTGCAAATCGGAGTCATAATGTACCCAAAGTACCCGGGCAAGACTGTATTAGACCCTAAGTGCCTGAAGAGTGCCACTGTCAGCCTGGAGAATCAGAAGGAGACCCACATTGTATCTAGAGCTTGGACACAAAATGCCACCTTGGCTTGGAGGATGGGGAGAACATAACAACTTGGTCTGAGGGTCTGGAGCAGACGCAATCTTGGGCCTGGAAAATTGGGAGGACTCCCTTGGGTCAGGAGGGGGCCTCATCTTCTGCCTGATGAAGGAAACCATGGGGGTGGGTGGCGTCTATGAAGCTAAAGATCAGGTAGCTAGTATAAGCATAATGGGAAAGGCAAAAGAAGCAAAACTAATCCTAAAGGTAGCTGGACTCAGAAAACAACACTGGGCCCAGGGGTTGGAGCTAAGCCCAAGGACTGGAAGCTAGCAGATAGCACAAGGACTAGGAGATGGAACCAGGGCCAAACCTGAGGAGCAGAAAAAGGGCCCAGCCTAGGGGCACAAAATTCCAGAAGGGGGGCTAGGCAGAGACAAGGTAGTGAAGGAAGATGCTATGGAATCTGCGCCAGATTCTGGGGCTCCTATGGGAAGAAGCAAGAGCAGCCCCCATGAGCAGAAACCAAAGTCAAGAAAAGCAGAGCACAAGGAGAGGAGAAGCAACGTGAGACCCCAGGATGGAGAAAGATCAAGGAGCTACTAGTTACTAGGGGCTGAAGCCAAGCCTCAGGGACAGGCTGGGAACCGGGAAGCAGGGGCAGGGCCAGAGCGAGGAACCAGACGCTAGAGGCAGGGCCAGGCTGCACAATATTATCATCCCCACCCCCCACCCCCCACCACGCAGCGTTATCCGGCCGGCGGGCAAGCCTCGCCCTGAGGGTGAGAGCAAGATGCGCGGGGAGCTACACAGGATAACAAGACCAGGTACCAGCGGCCTCGAGGACTACCCCCAGGGCGCAGAGCCAGGCCAGGGTTCTGGGTTCCCGCTAGGCACGCGGTCCCGGGTCTTGCTCAGGTTCGGTCCCCGGCACGCCGCGGATGTCGGGCAGCAGGCGGCAGCCGGCCACGATGTCCAGGCGCTCGGCCAGCGCGCAGAGGTCCCCCCGCGCCAGGCGCACGCTGTGGGCCGCCGCCAACCCTGCCGCCTGGGCGGCCGCAAGCCTACTGGCCAGGGCGGCCACGTCGCGGCCCGCGCGGCGGTACACGCCGCTGACCGCGGCCGCCACGTCGTGGTCCAGCCGCGCCTGGCTCTCGGCCAGCCGGAGCTGCAGCAGCGAGCGCGCGGGGGCCGGCGCCGGGGTCTCCTCCGCGCCCCAGGCCTCCCCGGCCGTGTCCCGCTGCACCACCAGCGGAGGCAGGTCCCCCGGCGCGGCGGTCGGCTCCGGCTCCGAGTCCGAGTCGGTTTCCGCGGCCTCCCCGGCCACCCGCAGCCCCGTGGGGCGGCCGCGCGTCGGGCCCGAGGGGCCCAGGTACAGCTCCTCCTCCGACGAGGACGCAGAGAGCTCCGAGTCCGTCTCGGCCGCCTCCCCCGGCACCACTGTCTCGGGCCTCCGCAGCGGCCTCCGCCGACGACCCTGGGACGCCATGGCGCCGAACTAGGGAGAAGAGGGGCGAAGGGACGGCATGAGAGGCGCCTGGCGGTGGTTCAAAGGCGCAGGTTCTGGATTCCCAACCCCTTCAATGACTAGCTGAGCGATTTGGGGCCATCTGCGTCCCCTGCCTGGGCCCCAGTTTCCTCTTCTGTAAACGGGCTCATCATCCCTGCTGCCAGAGATAAAGGAAGTCACTGGACCCCACCCTCTTTGTGCACTGACGGGGGAACGCAGAACCAGATGGGATGAAGGCTCTGGGGCCCGAGGTCTGCGCACCCGAGCTCCGCGATTTTGCCTCCTAGCAGAGGCCACACCCGCCACACCGTCCTCGGAGGCTTTGTCAGATCCGGAAACACACGGGCTCCAGACCAGGGTCTCAGAAAGGGTGACAAGCCCAGCTGGACTCTGGGGAGGGTACGCGAGTGGGGGCGCGGGGCAGCGCTATCACCGAACACCGTACCTGGTTACCGAAGCCTCGACCCTGCAGGATCCGCTACGCAGGCGAAGCGCGCCGTCTTCACCGTGGGAAGAGGGTGACAGCCCCAACCAATACGCGAGCACGTTGGGCGGGCACGGCGGCCAAACACGTGGGCCGCTCGACTACCTACCCGGAAAGCAAGCGCTCAAAACCAGCTGTGTGTAGGGGGGGGTAGTCACGTGAGTATAGGTACGACCAATAGGAAGGCGGCTGGGCTGGCGCTTCCGGATTGTGCTGCTTGGCGAGTGGACAAATGGCAGTTTTTAAAATACGAGGTTTGTCGCGTGTAACCAGTGATTCGGCCAATGAAAATGCTCCGCAACCCGGAAACAGACTGGAGACGGGGGGGGAAGGGCGGAGATGCTGTCACGTGTGGCCAATGAAAAGAGGCCCCCCTCCAAGTCTCCCGGGTTCACGCGCGCACCATGCGAGCTCGGTAGGCGGGGCCAGCCTGAAACACCAATGGAGGCGGGGGTGGGCGGCCTCGCGCCTGGTGCAGGAGGCGGGGCTTGCACAGCTAGGCCAATGAGAGCGCGAAGCGCTGGACGGCCGTTGGGCGCGAGGCCGGCGCATGGCGGACGCGGCGCTGTTCGAGTTTCTGCACACGGAGATGGTGGCGGAGCTATGGGCGCACCACTCCGACCCTGGCCCTGGGGTGAGCGCCGGGCCCTGGGGGGTAGGAGGCGCGGGCCGCGGCGGGAAGGGCGGATCGAGGCCCTGGGTAGTGCGGAGGGCGTGTCAACGGCCCGGGTCGAACTCCGACGCCGCCCCTGCCTCGCGGGGCGCTGACTCCCTCTGTAAAGTGGGGATCGCAGCAGGGCCGGCCTCGCGGGTTACTCCTAAAAGTGAGGGAGGCAGCTCCGGCTAAAGCTTAGCTCAAGGCCTAGCACAGAGTCAGCAGGTAGTAATTATCATAATTACTACTATTGGACGTGTACCAAGGACTTACTCCTGGCTTGAATCCCGCCTGCGCCACTAACTAGGTGTGAGAGCCAGTGACTCTATCCCGTGTGCCTCAGTTTCCTCCTTAGTAAAATGGGCATTGTAACAGCACCTCAGTCTCAGAGAGGGACATGTACTCATCCAACGAACAATTAGGCACCTATTGTATTCCAAGCACTGTTTCCCTGTCCTTGCGAAACTTAGAGGGGAGGCAAACAAACAAAAATACGCCACTGCCTAGTGAGAAGTTCCATAAAGAAAACTTCCATAGAGGAGCGCCTGGGTGGCTCAATCCATTACGCGTCTGCCTTTGGCTCAGGTCATGATCCCAGGGTCCTGGAATCAATTCCCACTTCGGGCTCCCTGCTCAGCGGGGAGCCTGCATCCCCCCCCCCCCATCTGCCGCTCTTCCTGCTTGTGTTCTCTGGCTCTCTCTCAGATAAATAAAATCTTTAAAAAAAATTCCATAGTCATGAAAAAACTAGGGATGGAGTGATTGATGGTGGAGGAAAGCCTTCCCAAGGCACAGACTGTAGGAAGTTAAGGCAGGGTGGGGGTGGGGTGGGGGTAGGGGTGGATGGAGCGCATTCCAGAAGAAGTTAAGGAACAATAGGTGCAAAGCCCTGAGGTAGGAGCTTGCTTGGCCTTTTGGAAGTTGGTTCTTCTGAGGAATAAATGACTCAAACTTTAAAGCACTTAGGGTGATGTCAAGCACCTAATCCGCCCCCAGAACATGGGAGCTCCTGTTATAAAATCTGTTACTAAAAAGAAAGGGTTGGGGAGAGAGTAAGGTGCTTGAGAAGTGAGTGCTGTGATTAACCTTTTTTTCATTATTATTCTTAGCATGATCATTGTCATCATCAGTAGGCAAGATGTTTTTACTGGCTTAGGTTTTATGGTTTAGGAGCCCCAAGGAGGGTGTTGCTTCTCATCTCAACCCCACTAAAGTGTCAGGCCCTGTGGTAGGCTCTGGGAATTCCTCAGTGAGCCCTACAAAACTCCTGGCCCTCCTGGAGTGGGGGAGGGGGGCACTAAGATAAATGAATAAAGTCTAGAATGTTAAGGAAATGCCATGAGAACGAGAACGATAAAGCGTGGGATAGAGAGTGCTCATTGGCCTGTGTTGGGGGGGCGGTTTGCAGTGTCTCGGTACCCCGTCCAGCCTGGCTTGAAACTCCCGTATCCCCGACATCAGGCCTTCCTCCCTCACCAGCAGCCCCCATCCAGGCCCTGCCACTTCTCCCCACCCCTGCCCTGTAGTCCAGGCCCCTCTCTGCCCCTGTACCAGCCTCCTCCCTCATCTCTCAGCTCATTTCACTTGTATCTTCATTGCGTTCACATCGATTAATCCTTCGGACTTTGGCTCAAATGCCCCTTCCCCCAGGAAGCCCTCCCTGGGCGCCAATCCAAGGCAGGTGTCATTGTGATGTTCTTGCAGCCCCCTCCCATTTGTCCTTGAGAGCCCTATCACACCCAAGTATGTATCTGAATTACAGGTCCCTGTGAGCCTTTTGATTCACAGTCACCGCCCCCCCATCTCCAGACTGTGCGCCGTGTGGGCTAGGACCAGGTCTGCGCTGATCACCACATAGTAGGTCCTCTGCACACAGTAGGTCCTCAGCGTGGGTTTGTTGAAGTGGACGCAGCTCCCCTGCTGTGGAAGGCGGGGGTGGGGACCTGGATTTGTAATAATAAGAGCACCTGCCCCAAATGAATGTTTCCTGCACGCGCTCATGGGCTTCACCCTCCCGATTTCATTTGATCCTCCTACTGACCCACAGAGGTCAGCACAATGCTCCCCGATTTGTAGGCTTTGGAGCCTGAGGAACCAAGGCTTTGATGGACAGGAGCGCTTGCTCTCAAGTGCCAGAGTCAGGAATGTAACTAGGCCTCCCACCTCCAGAGCCTGCGCGCTGTAAGCCCTGGCCCGCATTTCTCAGTGCCCCTTCCCTGGCACTCTCTGGGAGGATTTTAATGGGTTTCTGTGGTCAAGCAAGTGTGGGAAATGCTGGGTTACTCAGCTCTCCTCACCAGGGGCTTTCAAAGCACACGAACGTGCCCGGGACCCAGCTGCCACTGGGATTCCCGTGCTGGGGTCCTACCCCGGAGCTCGCCAGTGCTTCCCGGGTGCAGCCAGGGGTGAGGTCTGCAGTGGGTCTCCCATGTGCCTGCCACCTGGAAGCCCCATTTTCAGGGCCATATCAGGAGAACTGCTGTTTGGGGCGCCTGGGGGGCTCAGTCGGTTGAGCATCTGCCTTCAGCTCAGGTCATGATCCATGATCCCAGAGTCCTGGGATTGAGTCCCGAGTCCCAAATTAGCAGACCCTCAGCCTTGGGGTGGGAGGAATTAGGCCTGCGGGGGGGGCGGGGCTTTGGGAGTGTTTGGGGGGAGAAGGTGGGGTCTGGGGGTGTCTGGGACCACCTGGGTGGATGCGAGAGGTGAGTTCAGGGCCACAGGGTGGGAGGCGTGCTCATTCTTACCCATGCACCTGGGGGAGCGAGGACATCCCCTCTCCCCATGCTCCTCTTGAGGCAGGAGCCCGGGCAGCTTGTCCCCCAGGTCCCCCAGCAGGGCCTGCACAGATCACTGAGGGCCAGGGCAGCAGAAGAGATGGGAAGGAGCCTGGCACGGGGCCCCTGCCCGCTCCCCGCCTTCAGTCCAGGATGTTCTCTGCGAGTGCGGGGCTCAGGATGCACGGGCTGGTGGGGAGGCTCCGATCGGATCGCTTGTTTCCCCATCTCCTCCTTGGGGCTCGGTGGCACTCTTCCGTCCAAACACTCGAACCTTCCTGCAGTGGAGCACCCTCTTCTTTTTGTCTGCAGTCCTTCTTCCACATGATTCCATTGCGTCTTCTTGGCTCTTGGATGAGCATTGGACTGTCTGGGTCCCTTCCGCGTGACTTACAACTTCTTGGCCAGTTTTTTTCTACCTCAAGGGTTTTCCTTGACAGCCTAGGAGGCTTCATCCCCCTTACAGATGCGTTTGTCCGGCAGCTCCCTTTGTTATTTTCGCTACCATACTTCCCGTTTCCCAGGGCTGCCCCTCTGGCTGCCCCTTCCTCCCAGCTCCCGTGCTGTTGGGGGGATGCTAGGAGGGCTTTCTCGAAGGGGCTCCCCTCTGTTCCTGCATGATCTTGTTTCCTCTCAGTGGGCTGTTGTGCAGACTCATTTGAGGTGGGGGGCGGGTGCCAGGAGCCCAGAACTGCTCTGGCTCTGGCTCTGGGCTGGGCCGGGAGGATGAGAGTCCTGCCCAGGCTTTCGTAAGAATGATAAACTTCTAATCCGTGAAGAGCTTTTGTAGGGACCAGGGGAGGCAGGCGGTGATAGAGCCGGGAGGCTTCTGCTCCCTTCCTCCTCCACCCTCTTCCTCTGTCACCTGCTCATCCTCGGCCCCTCCCTTGCACTGCCTCTCTCCCCTCCCTTGTCTGTTGTTCCCGTACCCCACCACCCCGATCTTTCCAGTTCCGCACATACGTCACCGGCCTCCAGCGCGGGCTGAGTCCGGCGGTGCCACCAGCTGGGGAGGAGCTGTTGCCCAATGCGGGTCACACCACCGCTGTGAGGTAGGGCCAGCCGTCAGGCCCATTTCACACACGGGGAAACTGAGGCCTGGGGTTATGAGATAGCTTGCCCAAGGTCAGTAAGCAGCGGAGCCAGGCCTTGAACCCAGGCAGTCTGAAGTTCACTGAAGGGAGACCTTTCCAGAACGTTCCCCTCCCCCCCACCCCGAGGGGGGCTCCCTGGCCTGGCTGAGGACCCTGCTGACTCCCGGGCTGTCCACCCTCAGGGCCGCTGTCCTGGCTCTGACCCGGGCTTGGGGTGCCTCCCCACTCCCTTCCCTGCTTCGCTCCTCTCCCTTCACACGTGGCCCCAGGGGAGCGCTCAGAGCGTGGCTTTTCTCCCGGCCATGTCCCCGATGTCCTGCCTCGGCTGAAGCCACTAACGGCTCCATTACTTCCTGTACGGTCGGGGCAGGGACTGGCGCACCCTCTCCCACGGCGCCCTCCTCAGCCTGGTCTACGGGCGCCCCGACCCAGCGCTCACCGCCGTCCCCGACCCTCGTGGCCGGAGCTGCACCCCCCAATCCCCTTCCTCCCGCCTTGCCGTGGCGTACAGCCTCTGCTGCGAGTTCCCTCCCCTTCTCAGCCTCCTCCTCTGAGAAGCACTCTGGGGACCCCTGCTCTGGGGGGAGCTACCCGGCTCCCCTCGCATATGGGTTGTCCGTCACCTGGGCACCTGTCACCCCCGGCCCCCCCCCCCCCCGGGCACAGTGGCCAGCCCCTAGAGGCCACCAGGAAATGTCTATGGAATGAAAGAGAGAGAGTCCCCACGCGCCGGGCAGGCCTCAGGGCCACAGATGTGCTCGGTCAGCATGGAGGCTGGCCCTGCCTCTTTCAAGGCGCTCACCTCTGGAAGGGAGGGGACAGGGGAGCGCGGTCACCCTACCACCTGTCAGAGAAGGCTAGCCGAGGGCGTGGCAGGCGGCCTTCTAGGTGCTGAGCTAAGTCGGCCCACAGATCGGGGCCCCTCCTTCAGGGGGCTCTCCTTCCACCGGGGGCTGGCCACGCAGGCTGACAGACGCAGAGGCGGTGAGTGATAGGGACAGTAACCCTTGCTGAGCCTGGCTGGGAGCACTTGGCCCGTGTTTAATCCTCATAAGGACACAGGGAGGGAGGTGGCACGGCTAACACCATCCTCTCTTTCCCTGGGAGGAGGCCGGGGCTCGGGGCCCACGTCCCCCTCACTGTCTCTCCCACCTGAGCTCATCCCTGCATGCCTTAGTCATCAGCTGTGCCTGAGGACACCAGAGGCGCGTGCTGACAGAGGGACCAGAGGGCTGGCCAGCGCCAGCCAGCGGGAAGCTGTGTCATCACCAGGTCCGGTTGGCCGCAGGAGGAGCACGGAACGGTGGGCAAGGGCCGAGGAGCCGGGGCGGCCTGGCAGAGAAGAGGGCCACCTTGCTCGAGGACACGGGCGACCTCTTCTCAGGCTTCCCTACTCCCAGAACCTCCCCCCCGGCCCGAAGATGGGCCACAGCCCTGGCCACCCCACTGAAGGCCGGGACAGCCGGGGGTGTCACCCTGACCATCGCCGCCCCCCCACTCCCCCAGCCATCAAGGCTTCGCAGCCAGCCCTGCCCAGGTTTGCAAGCCGGCCCCCCGTCCCCTCGCTCCTCCGGGCCCCGGGTTCCAGGCGTGAAATACAACCGGCCTTACAGAGTTGTTAAAATTAAACAGGAGGTTCGTACAAAGCGCCCGGCGCATGGTGCATGCTCGGATCCCCACTGCTCACTTCGATTGGTGGCCGTGTGGCCCCCGTGTGCCGAGGCCAGTGCTGGCTGCTAAGGGTCAGCCCAGGGCCCCGCCCCACGGATGGCTCAGGCTGGGATCCAGCACCTGATCCGGGCCGCGGCATGGGGGAAGGGAGGCCTCCGGGCGTGGGGATGGGGCCGTGAGTGAGCCGGGGGGCCCCTCTCCTGGAGGAGCAGGGTGCCTCACTCCATACGCTGTCCTGGTAGGTTGATGCCTGCCTCGCTTCGTTCTCTTCAGGCCCCCCCCCCCGGAGGAATTACATACAGGCCGACTCCTCGGGCCTTGCCATCAGCACCGTGGGCCTGTGCCCGGACACCACGTGCAGCCTGCTGTCCCCCTCCCCGTGCCTCTGCCCCCCTCCACCGTGGGACCCTGGCCTGCCTTCCCCGAGCCCCTGAGCGGGCATCTCCTGGCCCGAGCCCCCGTGGGGCCCTCCCGGGGTTCCTGGCTGATGTTTTAAGGCATGACGATCACAGCTGATTGTTACAGCTTCCTGCCGGCCTGGCCAGGAGGGTGGGCCCCATGGCCGCGTGCCCACTGCCACACGAGCCCTTCGGCCAGTCACCTGGAGCCCCCGACTGGGGTGATGAGCATGCTGCCTACCCACACAGGGCTGGAAACGCTTGCGACAAGTGTACGGGTGGTCTCAGGAAGGAGTTGACAGGCAGGCTGAGGCCGAGCCTGGGGAACACCCCCATTTTTCCCCGAGGCAAGGGGGCGCCGGTCTCAAGAGCGATGGCACCTGAAGGCATCCGAAGGCCTGAAGCTGCCCTGGAAGGTGCTCCCTCCTGGCTCTCCTCAGCCCCGAGCAGGCAGGGACGGGCACATTGGTCTTAGAGTACCCTCTGCGGCTACTGTCCCAGGTGGAGGTGGCTGTGGGCCCCTGAGCCTCTCTTCCCTGACCTTTTAGGGACAGAAGATGAGCCTGTCTGTCCTGGAGGGCATGGGCTTCCGTGTGGGCCAGGCCCTGGGCGAGAGGTGAGAGCCGGTGCTTGCTGCCCTGCCCCTGCCCTGGCTGGCTGGAGGCAGGCAGGAACTGAGGTCAAGTCCCTGCAGGGGTTGTGCTGCTCTAGAGAGGAGCCCAGCCCGGCTTCCTCCCTCTTCCTTACCCTGGGCTCCCCATCCCGGCCCCTCCCGGCCCCACAGCATTGGCCGGGCCTAAGCGGCTGCCACTGCCCCCCAGGCTGCCCCAGGAGACACTGGCCTTCAGAGAGGAGGTGGACATCCTCAAGTTCCTGTGCAAAGACCTGTGGGTGGCCGTGTTCCAAAAGCAGATGGACAGCCTCCGCACCAATCACCAGGTGTGTTGCGCGCGCCTGGGGCCCAGCTTCCCGACTCCAGGCGGACACCGCAGCCAAGAGGAGGCAGGAGGAGAGCCCCTTGGGAGGGAGGGCACAGCGGCCCGGCCACCGCTGGGCTGGGGGGTGGGGGGAAGTGGGGGGTGGCCCTAAGCTCGTTGGCAAGAGCCAGGTTTCCCGACTGGCAACACGGCCCCTCTCTGGGCCTCCGCCCAATCCTCTGAGGGGAGCCAGGAGGCCGCAATGGGCAGGGCGTGGTGGGGGGTGGTCACAGCTATTTCCAGAATGTCCACAAGCTTCCCAAGATGGGGCCCCAGGGTGAGCAGTAGGCTGTCCCATGGTCGGCAGCACCCCTCCTTGGCTTGACAGCCGAGTCCCCACTAGGTGCCCAGGCTGTGCCCGGCCCGGCCTGCAGCTTCTCACCACAGCCCCGGGAGGAAGGGCCTGTGCGACTGTTTACTCCAGGAGCCAGGCCACTTAGGGGGGTTAGGACCAGTACACCCCATGGGTGGATCCCCGGCCCAGCTTGGGAAGCCCCTGGGCCCTTCTGGAGCTCTGAAGGATGGGGCCCATGACGACAGGGGTTCTGAAGCCCGGGTCCTTCTAGACCGCAGCCCAACGGGGCAGGGGGCGCTGGGTCTTGGCCTTCCGTCCCCCATTACAAATGCACAGGTGCCCCCCCCCCAAGCCCCTACTGGGCTCTTCTCTGTCCCTAGGGGACCTACGTCCTGCAGGACGATAGCTTCCCTCTTCTCATCCGGATGGCCTCGGGCCTGCAGTATCTGGAGGAAGCACCCAAGGTAGGGAAGGTGCTTGGACTTGACCTCCCCCTATTTCCTCAGCCCCACCCCAAGGTGGCCTACCCTCAACCTGAGGGGCTGGCCCATGGCCCAGGACGCAGGGGAGGAGTTGCCCCCACTGTGTGTGGAGCCCCGGGCCTGGGTGTGGGCCTCCCTGCTTCCCTGGGTGATGTGTACCCCCGCTCCCGGTCCCCAGTTCCTGGCCTTCACCTGCGGCCTCCTGCGAGGCACCCTCTGCATCCTGGGCATCAAGAGCCTGGTCACCGCCTCCGTGGCATCCCTGCCCACCTGTGAGTCGTGGGGGAGGGGGCCCTCCCCATCCCTCCCCATCCCTCCCCATCCCTCAGGTGTGGTGGGGCTCCAGAGTTCTGTCCCTGCTCCCACAGCTCCGGGAGGTGGCGCCGGGCTGGTGAGCCCCACTGACAGATGGGGAATTTGAGGCCCCGAAAGCTTAAGTCACGTGCCCAGACCACATGGCTGGGGCAGCCCATCCACGCCCCTGGCCCTGTGATGCCCCCCAACCCCCAGCCTGCTTCCCTAGGTTGTGCCAGCCCGGAGCAGAGAACTGCTGACAGACCATGCACTGGTCTACTGGTTGTGAATGTTATTCTGGGTGGACATGATAGAAGTCAGCCTGCTTGATGCTCGATGGAGGTCCCCAAAGGGCAGCCAGGGCCTGTGGGTTGCAGTCTGCCTGACGGGGTGTCCTCCTGACCCCCAGGGCCCTCCATCAGACGAGCTGAAGTTTCATGCCTCCCTGGGGCCAGCCTGCCCTCTGCTGTCCACCCCCCCCCCCGGTGTTTGTCCCTCTGCTGGTCCCCCAGGCCTTCTTATGGCGGGGGGACCTGAGGCCAAGTGGCCAAGACCTGAGCAACACATGCCGAAGAAGCCCGTGCCGGCTCCTCCTTAGCAGCCTGCATGCTTGACCTTCGTGCTCTTAGTCACCCACACGGCGCTGGGATGTGGGCCAGGTGGGCGGGGAGCAGCACCCCCTCGGACCAGCCCGAGGCCACCCAGTCTGCTGGTGCAGGGCAGGGAGGCGCATCTCTGAGCTGTTGCGGGTGCTTTCTGCCTCGCCCCTCAGATCCCAGCCCTTCGAGCTAAAGCCTGCCCTTCTCTTCCAGGTAAGTTCCAGGTGGTGATTCAGAAAACCTGAGGAGCCCCAGGCCCTCACCCCCCGCTGAGCCTCACGGCCACCGCAGGCCCAGGGACCTCGGAGCACCGCTTTTGGGGGTGGCCGGAGGGCTCGGGTCGGGGACCCCAGGCTCTGTGGGTGATGGACAAGAGCGGGGGTGCAGGGGTCCAACCGCCCTAGGGCATCATGTGTGCTCCCCAAGTGGGTGTCATAGGGAGGTCGGGGTGTCCTAGGAACAAGGTGGCCCAAGTTGGGGCCAGTGTGAAAGGATCCCTGCGTCAGACTCCTGCCTCTGCATGGCGGATACCCAATAAAGGTTCTATATGTGCAGCCAGATTTAAAAGTGGAAGGTGGGGGGGGGGGTGCTCTGTCACAGGTCCTGCAGGGGTGGGGGGAGTAGAGCCCCCTGCGTGCCTCCCCACCGCTCATTTCCTCCCCCTGCAGGCCCCTTGCATCCCCAGCCCCGTGGCCCCCGAGCCCTAGTGCTTCACCGCCTCCTGCCTGCACGCCTGGTGGGGGATGGTGGCCCGGGGCACCGGCAGCCCTGCTGGCCTCGACAAGTCTGGGGCTGCCCTTCCCCTGGTGGGGCGCACCGAATGGCCCTCTCCCTAGGGAGAGCATGGGCAGGGGCAGGCCTGGGGCTGCCAGGACCGAGGATGGACAGAGGGGGGTAAACGGGCCAGACTCCCTCATTTCCACACACCCCCCCCGCAAACCCCACAAACACACCTGAGGGAGCCGGCAGATGGAAGTCCCACCCAGAACAACAGCCCAGCTGACCTGCCCCTGGGCCATGTGGCCTCCCTGGCCTCCTGCCTCCCCCCGCCGCCGGCACCACCTCCCCCCACTTTACATTCATAGCACCTGAGGGGACCACACACCTAGGCTCTGCCCAGGCTCTGCCGCCTGCCGAGGGTAGGGACCCCCGCATCAGAGCTGTGAACTGAGGCTGGGGTGAGACCCGAAGAGGAGAAGACAGGTCTCCACCTCTGCAGAGTCCTGTGAAGGCAGCCCGTCTGGCCCCTGCCTTGGCCTGCCCACCCCCAGCCCAGAAAGCGGCGCTCCACATTCTGGCCTTTGCACACACCAGTCCCCGCCTGGGCCGCCCCGGCCCACTCCCCAGACTCCTGCCCCCTCTGGGGCATCCAGCAGCCACTCGCCTTCTGCTGGCCACCGCCCCCCTCTGTGCCCACAGCCCCGGGAGGACTCCTAGACAGCTTCTTCCTGCCCTGTGGTGGTTTCTTATATTCCAGTGCACTTCTTGGGTCCCTCTGGATCCCTTTGCCCAGGACAGAGCCTAGCAGACATCTCCCCGAATGAACTGGTTATTCAGCTAAACTGTGTGCAGGTGGGCAGGGGCGCAGAGGGTTAGCCCCAACCTGCCCTCAAGAAGCTCCTGAGCGCATCCTGGAGGTTCCCCCACACACTCACCCCCCACTCAAACATACTAGTCCTGCCCCCCAGTTGTCTGGACTGCTGCCAGGGCTGGGGGCGGTGGGCAGAGTCCCCAACTAATGGAGGACAGGGAGGAAGCCTCCCCAGGAAAAGCAGCTTGAAGACCTGGGGAGGAGAGACAGGACCGGCCCCCAGCTGACGGAAGGATGCTTGGCTATGGCTACAGGGGGCAGGGTCTGGTCACCCAGGCAGAACCCCTAGAGGGGCGTCCTGCTGGACCAGGTGGGGTCCCTTTTCTCTTGTCCTGAATCCCTCTGTCCCGGGCACTGTTGGGTGGTAGCCTCCCGCATCCCCACCAGGTCACCCATCTACCCCGGGCAGTGACTGTTTGTCCCATCGTGCCAGAAGCTGAAGCGACACGGGGGTTGGAGAGCAGAGCCTCCCCCCGCCCTGCACAACTGAAAGCCCCTCTTGCTCAGCCCTGCCCCTGCTCTCGAACCTCTCAGAGAACAATGTGCAAAGCATCCAAGCAGACAGGAGGCAGAGCCTCAGCAAGCCTGCAGCCCCTGCAAACCCCTGCTTCCAGAAGCCCCGCTCTGCTTCCACGTGACCTGGGGCAAGGAACTTCAGCTCTCTGGGCCTCAGTTTCCTCATCTGTAACGTGGGTGTCACAGCTGCCCTGACGGGCTGTGATGAGGAAGAGGGGCCAACTGTGGGAAAAGTGCATAAACTGTGTGCGGTTCCTGGTAAGCCTTCACCTGCATGTTATCGTCCTTCTATGAGAAGCATCTAGAGCAGCCTGGTAAATGGGTCAGTCCGTGCCCGGCACACGTTAGCTGCGGTCATTCCTGAGTGCCTGGCTCTGTGCTCAGCGGACTCCTCCTGACAACTGCGGGATGGTGGTTGTCCCTGGTCCACTCAGCAATGAGGAAGCCGAGGCTCAGAGAGGTGAGGTCACTTGCCTGAGGTCACACAGCTGGGCCCTGGAGGAACTGGCATCCGGACCTGGGATTGTTGTCCTCTCTCAGCTCTGGACTGTTAATCCCTGCGCCAGCTTCCCACCCCCCAGTCCCATGGAGCCCCCCCCCAGGAGCCCCCGGTAGGTGGAGCCCCAGGCAGCTCGGTGGCTTGCCACCTCCCTCCCTTACGCGGGGTACCACGCCCGGGGGCAGCCCCCAGTCCTCGAGAGTGGGACAAGCGGGCAGGGCGGGTGCTCTGGGGGAAGGGGCGGGGACAGGGCAGGCAAACCGGTCGGGCGGCTGGCCCCGGGCTCGGGGCCTCTCTCCAGTGGGGCCGACACAGCAGCTCGGCAGGGCAGGGAGCTGGGGCCGAAGGGCTGCCATCAGGTAGGTACAGAGGACCCCTGGCGAGGGGCGGGTGGGCAGGGGCCAGGCGCCGGGCCCCCAACCCTCTCTGAGCCCCAACTCATCCCCTTTCCTCTGATCCTCGGCTTTGCCTGCCTCCCCCCACCCCACACCCAGCATCCTTCCCTCACTGCTGCTTTCGGCTCTTTGCATTTTACGCCTGTGCACCCTGTCTCGTCCTGAGTTTGCTGAACCTCTTCCCCAGTTGGACCACCCTGATTGAATGTGCGCCCCCAGAATTCCCCTCCCTGCTCCCGCCCTCGTTCAGACCCTAGATGTACCAGCCCTGAAGTTTCAGTCATTTGGCTGCGGTGGCTCGGGGCTCCCAGCTCTCCCCGCGCTGGTTACGCGTCCCTTCCCATGGTGCCAGCCCGCGCTTCCCATGGCGCCACCCTGCGCCTCCCACAGTGCGCACCCCCAATACCTAGTGGTCCCCGAAGTTTACTCAGCCACCCCCCGGGCTCCTGTGTTTCCCCAGCCCACATCTGCTCAGCACCCCCATCGTCCTAGCCTCTTGGAAACTCCCAGGGGCTCCCAAACACCCAGTCACCAACTTTGGAAATCTCACGCACCCCACATTAGCCCCTAGCGCCCCAGTAACCATTCTTCGTTCTCCCTTGTCTAGCTGTCCTTCCCCGGTCCTGACCACTCACTTTTACTCTGAAGGGCACTGCCACCCCAGCTGGTAACGCGGGACCCCAACATCAGGGATGGGGTCTCCCACCTGTCCCAGGTCACATCCCGGGGGTGGGCTCTTCTGGCTGGCACCCAAGGGAGCCGGGCACTGAGCCCACCCTTGCCCTCCCCCGGAGCAGGCCCCCCGCCGCCATGCACAAACACTACACCGTCCGCTTCACCAAGGGCGCCCTGCCCCTTCGGACCCCCACCGAGCGCTACTTCTTGGACCCAGAGTTGGCGCCGCAAAAAGGTAGGGGTTCAGTTTGGGGGGTCCTGGCAGGGAGCGTGGTCTGTGAGTCAGGGGGCTGCTGAGTGGATGGTTGTTGAGCATAAGGGGAACATCAGGCCCCAGGGGAGAGGGGCTCCCAGCACTCCTCACAGAGGCTTCCACATAAAGGGGTCATGGTGTGGGAGACACAGGCCCCGGGGAGACCGAGAGTGGGAGCCCAGGATGGGGATGTCAGCAGGGGGGTCCACCCAGCCTACCCCTTCCCAGGTAGAATTCTCCCACCCCAAATCGCCAGGCCTGTGAGGATTTCACCCCAACCTGGGGGGAGCAGTGTGGAGAGAGAACAAGCTGCCCCCACCCCTGGGGGGGACAATATGAGTGGGGGGACAGCTTCCAGGGGGGTGGTGACCACAGGTGCTCCTGCGGGGGGGGGGGGTGGGGACAGTTACCGCCCATCTGGCCAATTCAGCCTCTTGAGGCCTGTGCCTCCCAGGGCAGCCCCCTTCCCCCCAGCCTTGCCCGATTCTGGGTACGAGGCCCACGCCCTTCTCAGTCCCCACCCTGTCCCCTCTCCATGGTCACCTCCCATCACTCCAGCCTCCTCTGGACCAACCAGGCCAGTTCCTGATGGGTTCCTTTCTGCCCCCCCAACCCCAGGGACACCCTCCCCGTCCCCAGGGACTCCAAGGCATTGTCCCCACTCCAGCCCCTCGCCTGGCTAAGCCCAGGTCTCTGCACCTCTCCTCTGCCCCCCAACAGGCGAGCACAGAGACTGCCCCCCCCACATCCCCTCTGCATTTTCTCTGATTTCTCCGGGGCCTCCACTTGAAGACTCGACCTGGTTCCTGCCAGTGCCCCCCCCAGGGGCAGGGACTCAGGCCCAGTCACCCCCACTTCCTTCCTTCCAGGATGCTGTCACCAGTGGTGCCATGACCCAGCGGCCCTTCGAGCCCTCGGGCCCTGTCGGCTGCCCCCACAGGTGTGCTGGCAGCTGGCCTACCAAAGCCACCGGGGGGGTGTCAGCGGCTGCTGCCGGGGCCCCCAGCCCCCCATCTTGCAGCAGCGGCGGCAGCCCCAGCCCCTGCCTCCCAGCCCCCTGCGGCAGCGGCTCTGCTCCGTTCCAGCGGCCCGCAAGGGGCCGCCTGCAACCGCTGCTGCCCCTAGGCAGCTGGCCAGCGCCCCCCAGCGGCCCCCCGAGCTCAGCATGTCACCCACCGCCGCACCTGCCACAGCCAGCGCCCTCCTGGAGCCCAGCACGCCCCGGGCCGCCCGCCCCCTGTTTTCCCCAGCAGCCTGCGGTCCCTTCACCTACAGCTCCGGTGCTCACCCAGCCTTCCTGCGGGCTCTGTCCCCGCTGCCTCCTCCCCCCGGGCCCCTGGCCCCTCGGCCTGCCCTCCTCGTTCACTCTGCTCCGTGTATAGGAGGGTGCTCGGCCCTGACCCTGGGCCCCTCCCCTCCCAGGCAGCCGCCTCTGCTTCACCTTTCGCTTCACTTGTCCACAGCTGCCAGGCCAGGCCTGTCCCTTGTGCCTCATCCCCGGCTAGTGGAGGGCGGGGGAGGGGGGGCAGATGTCGGGGGGGGGGCTGGGCCCTGGCTCTCTCCCTCTGCGGACAGCCTGGCTCTGCTTTCTCTCTTCCCGGCCCTCCCAGCCCCGCACCCCCAGCCCAGGGGCCAGAGAGAACCTGGGGCAAGGGGGTGACAGGCACCAGCTTGCTGGCCAGCTCTGGTGTGGGGGAGAGGGGCAGCGGTAGGGGAGTGGCCTGGGGGCTGGAGAGAACAGTGCGGCAAGGGGAGGGAATCCCTTCACTCATTCACTCGTTCCTTTGTTCATCCGTCCATCCTGTGACTAGGTACTGGATACGCACGGTGGGTGCCCAGCTCTGTTCAGGGCAGGGGTGCAGGCTGCAGGGAGCAGGGCAGAGACTGCTGCCCCCACAGGGCTCTCGGCAATGGGGGGGGGAGGTGGGTACAGGAAGCCAGATAAGGCGAGCTTCAGTGTGTCACCCAGTGATAACCACGTTGGGGGAAAACAAGGCAGGCAGAGGGGTAAGGGAGCATCGGGATTTGCAAATAGGGTCGTCAATCAGGCAAGCCTCCGTTAGGGCAACATCTGAGCTCAGTTAAGTGGCAGCAGGGTGGGCCTGCTCCCGGGGCCGTGACGAGGGCCATACCCCGGGGACCCTTGTGGCTGTGCTGAGGGCTGGGGCTTGGGCCCTGGGGCAGACGGGAGCCACAAGGGACGGGAGCTGGTGTGGGAGTGCGGGGAGCGGAAGTCGGGGTGAGAGGTGCTAATGGCAGGGGCGTGGGGACACACGGCGGTGGGTTTCCGGGTCTGCCTTGAAAGCGGAGCAACCGCTGAGCAGGGACTCGGGCTCCAGGTCAGGCAGTCCCTCATCCCTGCAGGCTTTGGGGCCCTGCCGCCCATGTCCTACCAGAGGCCCAGCGAGGTGAGGTCACCTGGCCACCAGGCAGAGCGGGGTCAAAGCCGCCTAGGCCACCCCCTCGGCTGACCTTACTGGGTCCTCCTACTGGGGCTGACCCTCCAGGAGGGAGGGATCCTGCAGCCCCCCCCCCCCCCGCCAGGCCCCTGGGGAAGGTGGGTATATTATCCCCACCACGCACGGGGAGGCTGGCCCAGGGCTGCCCACAGCTAAACCCTCCCTTTCTGGTGCCCCAACTCCAGTCCAAGAAGTAGCATCCGGTGGGGGCCCGGGGTGGGGGGAGGGCCAGGACGCCCTCAGCCGAGTGGACACTGTGATGCTGGTGCATGGTGCCAGGATTTGAACTTGAATCTGCTCCCTAAACGGTCATTCCAGACCATGGCATTGACTGAGGGCTCGCCCCGGGCCTGACCCTTTGGCATCCGTGCTGCCTGGTGTCTCTGTAACCCCTCTTCGGAGGGAGGGACTGAGGCTCTCAATGGTCATGCAGAAAAGGTGGCACGGCCAGGCCCAAGAGGCCGGTCTGCCTGGGCTCGGGGCAGGATGAGAGGCTGTGGGCATGGGGTCCTGGAGGAGAGAGATCAGGGCGAGGGATGGACAGGAAGCTGAGAGGAGCCTGGGATTGTCGGAGCCCTTCCGCACTGGACCCAGGCTAGAAGAGCAGGCAGGAACTGACACGAGAAACTTCTAGAGCGTGCCAAGAGGTGTCTTAAGCTATCTGAGGGCCTCGAGTCCCAAGACAGGCCCACGGCATTTTTCCGGGGGAACCACGGGCTGGTGGCAGAGCCTGGTGACCTAGGGCCTGGTCAGCCCAAATCCTCTGGGCCTCTGTGCAGGGGCTCGGTGGGGAGTCTAGCCTCCCAGCCTTGACGTGGTGGATCTGGGGTCGGCTCCTCCTGGGATGCTCAGAGGCGCACATCAGACCCTGGAGAAGGGGGTTGCGTGCCTACTGTGCCAGAAACCTCCATCTGCAGGTTTGACCTGAGTCACTTCAGGGAGTTGGGCAGAGGGATGCCGAGGAAGGGAGGAGCTGAGGGCGGGCTCTCTGGAGGGCAGACGGGAGGAGGGTGGTGCTGGGCCAGCCTTACTGACTCAGTTTCACCCCCCTTCCCCAACCCTGGCCCCCAGATATCCTGACAGAAGATGATGTCTACTGTAGCTGCCTGGCCAAGACCCTCTGCCACGTGCCTGTCCCTGTGACCGTGGGTTTCTATGCCCCCTTTGGCTGCCGCCTGCACATGATGCTGGACAAGATCACTGGTGAGGCCCCGTGTGTGCTGGGGAGGGGGTGAGGGGACAGAGCCCCTGGTCCCCGGTCCCCTGGTCCCTGCCCAGCCTCAGGCTCCCCCAAGCTCCACTCGCTCCTGACCCCGCTGGGCCCCAGTCCGGATGCCTGTAAGTCAGTATTAACCAGGTCCCTCCTGACGCCCACAGCCTCTGTCCCTGGGTCCCTGCTCACTCCCTCTCTGGCCTCTTGGCTAACAGTCTCATCCCCTCCCCTGCCAGAGCCACTCCAAGGAATCTTTTTAAGATACAGCTCTGGTGGGGCGCCTGGGTGGCTCCGGTGGTTAAGCGTCTGACTCTCGATTTCAGCTCAGGTCATGACTGTGGGGTCATGGGATGGAGCCCTGCACTGGGCTCCCTGCTCAGCAGGGAGTCTGCTTGGGATTCTCTCTCTCCCTCTGCTCCTCCCCCTGATTTCTCTCTCAAATAAATACATCTTAAAAAAAAAAAAAAAGATAAGATACAGATCTAGCCCTGTCCTTCCCCTGTTCAAAAAGCCTTCCGTGGCTCCCCAGCACTCTAGGGAGAAAGCTCAGGTTCCTCACTGGCTCCTGCAGAGTCCCTCCTGTGCCCCCCAGACCCATCTCTTCTCAGCACGGACCCAGGGCCTGGCGCCCACAAGGGCCCTAACGGATAGAGGTTAACCGATCCCGTGGGCTGAAACGCGGCCAGGATCCACGGCAGCTTGGACCTGGTTTTAGCCCTGCTCAGACCCCAGCCCCGACTGTGGCCAGAGGGGCTGGAGGCGGCTCACCTCTGTGAGCCCAGCCCTGGTGAGCACCTACTAAACAAGACTGCATCTGCCCCCCTGTGTTGTCACAGAGTGATAAACAGGGTCCCGGGAGGAGAAAACATGCGATTATAAGGAAAAAGGAAACAGCATTCGGGAGCTCCTCCTCTGTGCTAGGTGACTCTGGCACATTCCCACTCATTCATTCACTGACCTCAATAAGCAGATGGACCCTGCCCCCAACCTCTCATGATCCATCCTTCAGACATTCCCCCAGCCCTTCCTTGGTGCCCAGGGGACACAGGATGACCAAGACGACCAGAGCCCTGCCCTTCGTGCCCTCACAGGCCAGAGAGGGAGACGGACCTGGCCCCAGAGAGCGATGACCCAACAGTGGGTAGGGTTGGGGTGCGGAAGCCCGGGAGGCACCTGACCCAACCTGGAGATCAGGGAGGGCTTCCTGGAGGAGGAGATGGCTGAGCTGAGACCCGGAGGAGGAGCATCAAGCCAGGAAAATCAGACAGAGGCTGTACTGCGCTGCCCAGCATTTCGCTTCCTCAGCACCTGGCACACATTCTTTCCTTCCTCGTCCCTTCCCGTCCTCTCTCCCCTGGGAGCTCTGCTGCTTCTGCCCACTGCTGGCCTCGGGCCTGGCCCTCATACTCCTGCCCCTCCGTGCGCCGCTCCGGGCCTCCGGGCCCCCGGCCCGCCGCTCACGGCCCGGTGCACCCTCCCCACCCCTTCCCTCCCCGCAGCTCTGATGCAGCAGGAGGCGGCGCAGCGCGAGGCCGAGGAGCTGCGGCGCGTGCGGTGTCAGCCGCGGCCCGTGCGCGGCTGGGGCTTCCCGCAGCTGCTGTGGTACCTGGTGTTCCTGCAGCCTGTCATCACCGAGCTGCACCTGCACCGCAAGAACGTCCAGTTCCTCTTCATCCGCTTCAGCGCCTGGCACTACGCGGGCACGGACAAGCTTTGGGCCGGCTTGGTGACCACGCTGTGCGAGGGCATCCGCCACCACTACGGCGCGCTGCCCTTCAGCGTGTACTCGGTGCTGGGCAACAAGCCGGCCGCGACGCCGGGCTTGTGCGAGCGCGAGTGGCACTGCCGGCGCCGCGTGTGCCTGGCGCTGCTGGCGCTGCTGGCGGCGCTCGGCCTCGGCGTGGGCCTGCTCTACCTGTCGGTGGGCCCCCGCGCGCAGGGCCACGGCGCGGCCAGCGGCAGCCTGCTGCGCGGGCTCGGCGGCGCGGCCACCACGCTGTCGGGCTCGGGGCTGCTCATGGCCGTGTACTCGGTGGGCAAGCACCTGTTCGTGAGCCAGCGCAAGAAGATCGAGCGGCTGGTGTCACGCGAGAAGTTCGGCAGCCAGCTGGGCTTCATGTGCGAGGTGAAGAAGGAGGTGGAGCTGCTCACCGACTTCCTGTGCTTCCTGGAAATCTACCAGCGGCGGCGGCTGCGCGTCGTGCTCGAGGTCACCGGGCTGGACACGTGCTACCCGGAGCGCGTGGTGGGCGTGCTCAACGCCATCAACACGCTGCTGTCCGACAGCCACGCACCCTTCATCTTCATCCTGGTGGTGGACCCCAGCATCCTGGCCGCGTGCCTCGAGAGCGCCGGCTCCATGAAGGGCACGGCCGACAACGGCTACCTCTTCCTCAACCGCACCGTCACGCTGCCCTTCTCCGTGCCCATCATGGGCCGCCGCACCAAGCTGCAGTTCCTGCACGACGCCGTGCAGAGCCGCGACGACCTGCTCTACCGCGAGATGACGCGCAAGCCGCGGCCGGGCGGCTGCAGCGGGGGCGGCGGCGAGGGCGCGCAGCTGCTGGCCGTGGAGACGCAGGCGGGCGCCGAGGGCGCGCAGAGCCGCATAGACGCCGAGGCGGCGCGCCGCATCCAGGAGGCACTCTTCTGCCTGCACGACGAGCGCGACTGCCTCTACGAGTACGTGCCCGACAACGTGGTGTCCATGCGGCGCATCGTCAACACCGTGCCCATCACCGTGCGCCTGCTGCAGCAGCAGGACGGGGACTTCGCGGGCCCCACGCCGCGCCAGGCCGTCGCTTGGGTCGTGCTGGCCAACCAGTGGCCGTGCCGCCTCAGCTGGGTGCTGCAGTGCCTGGAGGACCGGCAGCAGGCGGGGGGCGCGCCCGAGGCCCGCGCGCGCCTCTGGGACGTGTTCTGCGACAACAGCCGCGAGCTGCACTCCATGACCAAGGCGTTGCAGAACGTGCTGGACTTGGACGGCGACCCTGAGCTTTTCGAGCGCTTCCTGGGCGCCGACTTCCCTTTCACCGTGGCCCAGGCGCAGACCCTGCTGCGCTGCACCGTCAACCTGGACCACTCCATCCGCCGCCGCATGGGCCTCATCCGGGCGGTCAGCGCGCTCAAGCCGCCCAGCCCGCCCAAGTCCCCAGCCCACGACGCCCCCCACGCTGCCGACGGAGCCAACCATGCAGCCGGGGCCTTCCCGCCCGGTCAGGGCGCCGGGCACGCCCCGGCGCATGCGGGCAACGCCCACCAGCCCCGGGACGGGGCGCACGGGGGCAAGCCACGACTCGTGGCCTGAGAACCCTTACAGCCCAGGTGGGTCTTGAAAGAGTACTCCGGGAGCAGCGGGAGGGAACCGTTGCTCCGTCTGCCCGGACGAGGGAGTGAAGGGTGCGACTGGGCCCAAGGCCGCCCGTCCGGGTCTGCAGTGAGGACTGTGGTGCCCCCCCCGCCCCCCACCCAGGTGAAACTGTGAGCCAGAGAGCTGCTGGCAGTGGCAGGCTACTGAGCCAGTGACCAGGGAAGAACCCCGGGTTCAAGTGCAATAAATGGAGATGTGAAAGCCCCCGTTGGTCTTTGCGTCCTGGGCTCCCTGGCTCAGCAGGGACTGCGAACCAGGCCTGCCCTACCCTGCCAAGCCCCGTCACCCCCAGGGAGCCGGGCAGCCTCAGCTGGCAGCCTCACTGCTGGCATCTCTGGTGGCAGGAGGGGTTGCGGGGGCGGTGGGTGAGGCCCCTGAGGCAGGGGAGGACGGATGTGCGGGTTGACTCAGGCAACGGAGAGCGTCTAGGCCTCAGGGGATCCAGGTCCTCATCCCCACGCCCTACCTGCCCCTGCGCAGGCACGGAGCTGTCATTTCCGAGGGTGGTGTCCCGTTGACCTCAGCAGGTTGCTCCACTCAAGGGGTGGCTCTGCCCTGGTGGAATGAATGAATGAGGGCTCCCTGGCACTCCAGCCGGCTGGGGCAGGCAGCGCGGCCTCCCCTGAACAAGTGACTGCCCACCCGATGAGCCCTTTGATGAGGACTGGGGAGCTGAGGAGCAGAGATGGGGTACCCGTGGGACATACAGAACCGGAGCCTGTGCCAGGCCACAGAGTGGTGGGGGGTGGAGGGTCTTAACCACTTTCCCCTCCCACCCGTGTGACATGGACCTAGGATGCTGGTGTCACCCCTCTGGGCACCTTCAGAGTTCTCACTGGTCAAGGAGCCACACACTCGGGCCCGTGGTGTGCCCGATCCAGTCCAGTTGGGAGACGGGACCAACACTTAACCTACATTGCATGACGAGAGCTCGAGAGTGTGACTTCTGAGGGGACAGACCCAGAGGGAGCCAAGAGCTCTGTGAAGTCACCCACGCTCAGGCCCTGGGGCCTGGTGGAGGTACTGACCTCACATTCCTTACTCCAAGGCTGGGCACAGCATCCCACCTCCACTGGCCAACGATGGCCTCCACGTGGACACAGGGCAGAGCGCCGGCCTGTGACTTCCGCTGGGGCGGCCAGCTTAGCTGCCTGGCTAAGCCGGTGGTACAGACCTGCACCTGCTGGGGGAGGTTCTCCAACGGCAGCGGGGAGCCTGCCCAAGAACGACGCTCCCCAGAGACACACGGGGACCGTGACAGTTAGGTCGGTGTCTGCAGGTGTGGGACTGGGGCCGATATGTCCCTTCCCTTTGGCCTCCCTTCAGCCGACCTGGCTCGGGCTTCCATTTCTCACCACCTCCGGTCCAGGCTGACACACATTAGCAGCAGGAGTAGGCGTGAACTAACCTGCCAACAGGCTGCGAGCAGGCCTGTGGACTCCAGGCCCCGGGAAGGAGCTGTAGGTCCCTGTTCAGTGGAGCCACGCGGTGGTCAAACTGTGGCCACTGTGTCTCTTAGACTCTGACAAAGTCTGAGTCCGACAGAGCTAGAGTTGGGATGTCCCAGAGTGGCTGGTGTAGCCGGGAAGGCTCACTGTCCCCCAGCACTCACGGTCCCCTCTGTGGGGTCCGTGGAGCTTTCCTGCTGGCGACTTGCACCTCGGGGAGGCCACGGGGCTGATTCTTGCCAACAGGAAGGGAGCACCAGTGATGTGCATCCCCTTCCCATCGTGCCCACGAGTGAAGAAGGTCTGCCTTGTCCAGTTTCCCCTACCCCCCCCCCGTCTGCCCACCGGATACAGGGGCTCCTGAGGCCCTAAGGAGTGGCAGAGCCACAAGGGCGAGGCCTGGACCCGCCTGTCACTTAGGGGAGAACAGCTGCCCGCTACCTAACCATCCACAAGCGTGGAAATAACATCTCCCATGTGGTGGCACTGAGATCTTTACGACTGGGTACAGCGTCTAGCCCAGTAATAAAAGGGATTCGGTGTGTCTTCACAACAAGTTCCAGGAGTGTCTGGGTGGCTGAAGGCAACGGGGAGAAAATACTTGGCCGAAGGGACCCCCCCTTGCGATCCCGGACTGATCCAGGATCCAGCTGGAAAATCAGGAGCACCACACAGTTGGTGCCTGGGGGTCCCCTGGGGCTGCTAGGACCAAGTCCCACAACCTGGGTGGCCTAGCACCAGAAATGTACTCTCCTGGTTCCCAGGCTTGAAGTCCGAAAATGTGTCTGCAGGGCCACGCGCCCTCGGAAACGTGGAGCACCTGAGGCCACGGGGGCAAAAGTGGGGGCCTACTCCCCCTGTGCCGTGGGTGGTTCACCTCCATCACACCCTGGGAGCCTAGGCCTGAAGCTGGAAGATATTTTTGGGGTTGTTTTCCTCTGGAGAAACAGGACTGTGAACTGGATGGTAAGGGAGATACAGGAGCGCGGACATGGAAAAAAAAAAATGGGGGTGGGGGGCAGGGCACCGGGGCAGGGAGTGTTGTGGGAAATGTGGCTGTTGCCTCCCCGGCCTCCCTGCTTTCCTTGGGGGGACCCCTAGCACCAGCCCCGCAGACGTTCCCCGGGGGGCTGGCTGGGCCCTGCGCGCCCCACTCCCTGTGCCCACAGCTCCCGCACGGCACAAGCAGAGAGTAGGCGAGTGCGGTGAACCCAGCTCTGGTTTATTAGAAAAGGTGTGAACAGAGTTGCACCGACAGGAGTAGCCCCTCCCCCGCCCCCTGCCCACCCGTACCCCACACCCATGCCGCCCCCCGGGTTGTAGAGCCTCTCAGGGCGCAGCCTCAAGGGGCCTGGACAGCAGGGTCTCGAGAACCCTGGTTGCTCCTCACCCCAGCTCCCTGATAGATTTATTGCACTTAAGAAAAAGAAAGCTCTGATCCTCTGCTCCCACCCCCCCCCCCCCCCAGCCCTGGCCCTCACTCTGCCTGGGGTTGCTCTACCAATGTCCTCCACCACCACTCACTGCCCCTCCCTCGTCATGCCTCCTGCCTGGCCCTGCACCTGGGGGGCACCGGGGCGCCATCCCACCACCACCCAGGACTGCTGCCCTCCACGGGGCAAGCCTGGCCGAACAGGCCGTCTGGAAAAGGCGTCCAGCCTCGTGGCTGATGTCCTCGGAGAGCTCCTCCTCCCATCCCCCCAACCCAGAGCCTTCGAGTGCTGGACACAGAAATAGTGCTTAAGTCAGGGCGGGGAGGGCAGTCCCTGTGACTCCTGCGCTCTGTGTAGTGTTGCTGTGGGGGGCAGGGGTCCCCAGAAAGGCCCCCCACACCCCTGGTGGCCCAGGCCTCAGGAAGGCTGGGGGTGAGGGTGAGCAGATTCTCATGGCTCTGGCCTCAGCTCATCGAAGACTGACCGGAAAAAAGGAACTTGGGGAGAAGAGATTGGGGGAGGGCCTGTCAGAGCCAGGGGCTCTACTGCCGGACCCCAGAACCCCTGCCCTCTGGCCCTGGCCCCCGCCTCACCTAAAGTGTCACAGTGTCTCCTGCCCAGATTCCTGACTGGCTTCCAAAAGCAGCTCCTCGAGCTCCTTCTCATTCTTGGAGCAGCTCAGTTCTGCAAGGGGAGAAGGGGCAAGCAACCTCCAGTCAGGCAGGTGGGGATGGGGGGGACCCCAGGCCATCCCCACCAGCCCTGCCCAAGTCTGGCCCTCAGGGCAGCACAGGGCCCGGGTACCACTGAGACCATCAGACTCCAGTCAGCACACCTCGCCTGCTCCATACCAGTGAGAGCTCCCAGGGATCCAAGGGAAACAAGGTGGGGGCCGAGGACCAAGTTCTTGTTCCTACCCCCTTCACAGGCCATTTTAAAGGGAACACTGAAGCCCATCGAGGGGCAGGTGCTTACCCGGGGTCACACCAGCACCCAGGGCCTGCTGTCACCCTGCCCCGGAGCCCCACTCACCGTGTTCCAGGCCACAGCTGCCCGCCTTGGCCTCAGGCCCCGGGGGTGGCTCTGGAGGCAGTGCGAGGGCAAACTCGGGCTTCAGGCCGTTGGGCAGCGGTGGCCCTGACTGAGGTGGCTCCAGCTGTGACTGAGGCTCCGACACCCCTGGGTCCAGAGTGCCGATGGCCTCAGCTGGTGGCAGGCCAGGTGAGGTGGGCAGGGAGGATAAAGCAGGAGCAAGGGGGGAAGGGGGAGAAGGAGGGGCGGGGGGTGCCGGGAGCTCTGCCCTCTCGGGCGGACTCTCAACCCGAGTCACCACAAACACTTTGTGGCCCCGGCCTGGGCTGGACACAGAAATGCGCTGCTCAGTGGGGGAGGCGGGGCTGCCTGGGGGGCTCCTGTCCCCAGGGCCCAGGGAGTCCGAGGGGGGCACCAGGGCGGGGCAGGGGGCCTCGGCCCTCTCCCCCTCCTCCTCCTCCGCACCCTCCTCCTCGGAGTCCGAGTCTGAGTCTGAGTGCGGCCGGGCGCTGGGGCCGGGGGCCCCATTCTGCTGGGCCCTGGTGGCGGGCTCGTCCCCAGCCTCCTGGGCCCTGGGCTCCTGGCCGGGCTGCGGCTCAGTCATGGAGATCTCGGGCATGGAGGCGGAGAGCTGCAGCCGCTGCTCCTTCTCGTCCTGCTCGCGCGCCAGCATGAAGTTCTGCTTGCAGCCATTCTGGATCTCTGCGAGCAGCGCCTTCTGCGTCTCGATAAAGCTCTTCACCTGCAGGTGGAGCGGGCCTGGCTAGGGCTCTGCACAGCCAGTGCCCACGACGGACCCTGCAGTCGCCCTGGGCCAGCCTGGAACCCAACCCCCCCCCCCCCCCACCGCTGGAGGCCTCAGGGAAGAGCCCACTCAGCTCACCGCCTCCTTCTTGGGCTCACGGTCGAGGTCGAGGCGCAGCAGTGAGTGGTTCACCTTGAGGGCCAAGGACAGTGCCATGAGCCCGCCCGTCTTGATCTCGTTCTCCCGAAGGTCCAGTCTCAGGAGGCGGGGGCTCTCGGCGATGAACTCCGCCACCGCCACCGCGCCTGGGAGGGGGACCGCAGGGGCTGGCCATGGGCTAGCCGCCCGCCGAGCCCACCTGCACCGCCCCCTCGGCCCGGCCCCGCGCCCTACCCTCGCACGTGAGCTTGGTGGAGGTGAGGCCAAGGCGCAGCACACTGCGGTTGCTGATGAGGCCGTTCTTGAGGTTCCGCACGCCCTCGTTCCCGATGGGGTTGTGGCCCAGGTTCAGCGTCTCCAGGCTGTGTGTGTGTGGCTAGAGGGGGC